GGTTTTAACAACATAGCATATTCCATTAATTAAATGACCGTTGGAGAAGACATTACATACGAGCTAACCGAACAATGGGAGTTGGCCTCCACATGCACTCAGTGCTGTCTTTGCTGCTCTCTGTAGTGGCGGTGGACCAATATCACGCCAGAGCTTTTCAGAAATGATGTTCATATCTGATGCAGTGTCCAACTGCAGACTGGCTGGGTAGTTATTGATTAATACCGTCAGGAACTTTCTTTGTGGCAGCTCGTTGTCCAAAAATGTGGCTGCGATGTGCATGGATCTCCCAATTGGTTTAGAAGAGTTCTTTCTTGGGTAGACCGGATGTTTGTGGACGGCGTGAGCTGCAGCAACCATTTTCACGTCCAGTGATGTTGCACTGACGGTAACGATGTTGGTTGTATGGGCGAGACCTGATGTAGTGCCAGGCGCTACAGAGCTAACAAGGTGAGGGAGGAGCCTTCTGTATATCGTGGTATCAGACATACGTGGGGAAAACCGTGCATAATTTGATAATTCAGATTTGGTCCGGCCAGAATTCCGAGATGAGGAAGACTTTGATGACTGGCGGACGGCATGGACATAATTGTGTTCGTCAGACTGAACCAATGTGGCATCATGTCAGAGAGTTTCCAATTCGTCTGCTATTTTTAAGAGTCAACTTAAGATCATGGTCTAAGCGACTCAGCAATCGGGTGAAAATATCAGAGAATTTCGGCTGACGGAGACTGCAGATAAGGATTAATGATTTGAATTGATCATCAGACAATGCCTTCAGTTGAAATCGTTCACATTCTCGATTAACAACCCTAACATGTGTTCGGAAATAATTATGATCATTCATTGTTAACTTCATACATCGGAAGCGAATATTGAAAAGCGATGAATGGTCACCAAAAGAATGACTAAGTGATTTAGTTGTTTCATCGAATGTGTGTTCGCGTGGGTTCTGTGGTAGTATGAGATTGCAGTAGGTATCAAGTTCTACTGCACCAAGTTTCCCGAGTAAAAGGCGGACTTTCCAACAGTCATCCTGACTAGCAAAGTCAATTCTGAAAATGTCTATACCAGGTATCGAACGTAACATTGGTCTCTGGATCTTAGAGAAAATCGGTGATGCTACTAACCAACCCATCGACTGGAGCCAAACTGGCAGCAGGCGAAGAGGATGGTGGGACAGCAGCAATCTTTTTACCAGCCAAAATTTCAATAGGCTCGAATTGCTGTTCTAACGTATATTCAATTTTCGAATAATCCATAACCAAAAAATCAGCCCTGTCGCCACTGTTATGATGCGGAGTTGTAAGAACGAACGGAAATACTTAACGATTGGTAGTCGATGGTTTAGATGATGCAACCCGAGTGATTCGCAAAGAGAAATCAAAAGACTGGAAACCAGATGAGTTTATAGTATCTCGGACTGAAGCGTTTATGAGTGAAAACCGACCCTATTTATAGAGTTTACAACAACTTTGAAAGACAAGGAATCACTAGTACATTTAAAGAATTAGGAGCCAATAGCGGGTCATTCGAAATATGACCCATGAGGGGGAAAAGAGCGCGAATAAACAGTTCAAATAGATACAAAACTGTAAGTGTGAAATATAGGAGATATCGGCACCCCTAACACTTCCATAGAACCTCAATTGACTAAAGAAACCATGTCCCTCCTGCTCACTGAAGACACAAGCCTTTCAAAACGCACGGAACTTAAATGTTCAAGTCTAATGGAACTCATCGACTATTGCCTGACAACATACTTCCAACTTAATGACAAAATATGCAAACAGATGAAAGGAACTCCAATGGGGTCACCAATATCCTGACTAATAGCAGAAGCAGTGATGCAGAGACTGGAAGCCATCATTCTCTCTACGATTAAACGAAAAATTTGGATTCGCTATGTAGACGATACTTTTGTCATTATTAAAAAATATGACGTAGAAAACACTTACAGCTTGATCAAAAAACGTTTTCAATGACATCAAATTCACAATGGAGAAGGAGTCAAATAACCAACTACCATTCCTGGATGTTTTAGTCAGTAGGACAAATGCCGGAAACCCAAGTGTACAGGAAGCCAACACACACTGATCAAATCCTCAACTACAATAGCAACAACACACAAAATTAGTTGCGTGCACACTCTGTTCAAAAGAGCGAGAATACACTGAAGTACAACAGCGTCACGGAGAAACGAAGAGAATTACTTGATGTCTATCCTAAAGAAGAACGGTTACCCGCGAAACTTTGTCGGAAGATGCCTATTCCGTACAACATCAACTACAAAGCCTTCAACAGAAATCAACAAACACATCACCCTACCATACATAAAGAATATATCAGAAATCATGACAAGATTACTGAGACCACTTGGAATTGGTGTGGCCCATAAAGCAACAAATTCCCTGCAAACACTATTATGCAGACCAAAGGATGCAACAACCAAAGAAGACAAACCGAACATCATTTACAAAGTCAACTGCAATAACTGTAGTCAACACTACATTGGACAAAGCAGTCACCCCTTCACCTTCGTCTACATGAACACCAATCGGCTATTAAACGTCACGATATTTCATCATTCACTTCAATATACGTGGATAATTATGGACATGAATTCAGTTTTGACAGTGTAGAAATTTTGGACAGAAGAAACACAAAGAATACCAGAGAATTTCTAGAAGCTTAGCATTCAGGTCAGTCAGCAATCAGTAAATGTATAGACATAGACCCAATCTATCAACCAATGAGAAAAATGATAGGCGACAGGAAGGTCAGAGGTCAAGCAGAGGAATAGCCAATAGGGAAATCTGTACAGTCAATGACAGAACCGCCAAAGGAAACAACCAACCACAAACCAGTTCGTCGGGGCAAGCTACTAAATCACTCACGGAGAAATATTGACAGCTCACTTCATACTGAAGTTAGTGCTGAAGATGTCGTCTAGAAAGACGATGTAAGCTCCACAACTAAACAACTCAGCTCAGGGAGCGCCACGCAACCGGATTCACGCACCTGAGCTGAGCGGTTTCTTCACGATTTCGTATAGTTAGTGGAAAAGTAGTTCGGGTGAATGTCGTAATCTATGTTGAATGAGGTAATTTTTTGTCTCCAAGGGAACGCGGTTTTGAAAAGTAAACTTTTGTTTGACAAGGATTATCGTATGCAGGGAATTGGTTGTTGCGCATGACCCATGCTTCCAATAGTTGGCGTGTTTTTAGGCTTCAGTGAGGCCTTTAGTAAAATGTCTTACGTAAATTTGCTAGGAAAGCTGCACTGGAAACCTGGATTTAACACTTTATCTGAAAGGTTGAAGTGAAATAATGAGGGTTAATGCAATTTTGTCCGTGTGGAAACCTGTGGTGACTGGAGTTCCTTTGAGAACAATTTTGGGTCTACTGCATTCTTTTTTATTTGGCAACCATTTACCGCAGATTTTCTGTGCTGATATTCGCCGTTGATGTGAGCGTCCGAGCAGTTGTACGTGGTGATGCTGATAGATATGCATTTCAAACGAATTTAGAATAACTAGTAGGTTGGTGCAAACGTTTGTACTTGGAAGTCAACACTGTTAAAAGTCCAATAATGCACATTGGTCACTGCAATTGTTTCCGGTATTCCGTTGGTGGTAAGTCACTGCTCCCAGTCTTTGAACCTGAGCAGTTAGATGTTATCGAAAGCCATGGTTTGAAAACTTCGGCACAGTGTAGTGTAGCAAAGCGCTTTCGTGTATTATGGTCCATCCCGAGAGCTTTCAAAAGTTTTGATCAGGGTATGTTCATGATACTCTATTCTACTTATTTCGGACGTCACTGCATTCAGCGACCAGTTCATAGCTAAAAAAGGATGTTGACGTACTGGAGCGTGTTTCAAGGGTAGGCACTTAACTTGTGGCAGGTCTTTCGAATCTCCCCGATGAGGAACCATTAGATCGGCTAAACTTATTGCTACTGTTTTACCCTAGGAAACGGGATGGTCTCATACTAGAATTTCGTATCCTTAATAATGACTTCGGTACTGATATGTCCTATCTTCTCTCTCCTGTTAGGATTGATTATCCCCGAAAACATCACAAGAGAATCCAAAAGCCATAATCGAATCAACTTAGCGTGAATCTGCGTTTCTCCCATCGTGTGGTCAACGTGTGAAACTTCTTACCTCAGAAAGTAGTATCAACACCTTCAGTCAACGTGTTGAAAGAGAAACTAGATCTTCTGCAAGGATTAGCACAGGCCATCCGGCCTACTCTCCTTATTACTGAAAACAAACTATAAACTACCATTGTTACTTCATGAATCAAGAATAGACAGCAATTCTTTAAATCTGGTCATATTTAAGGGGCTTTGAAAAAGTACAGGCGAAAAGCACCAGAAACTATTGCATTAAATGTTTTAGCATTACCTTGAGCTTTAGGGATGGTTATCAATTATTACTAGTTCAAGGCTGATGAAATATGCTTCTCGCCGAAATCCGCTATGTGGCATACAAACTAATTAAAACTGATTGTTAATCCAAATGTATCCATACATTATCTTCGTCTAAGTTGTAATGATAAGTCTTACGTATATTCCTGTTTTGTACTCAGCACACCACCACATACCTGGTTGATTATTTCTTGCATCATCTTATCTTTAATCGATGAGACGACAACGGGTTTCTCAGTTTGAAACTTAAGAAATCCTAGGAACTTCCAAAGGAAATCATTTCATAGCAGTTACTAGTACGACTTTATTAATGAAACCCCGAACTTGAGATAGTTCCGTAATTTATTGCTACCAATAATCTTTTCTCAATCGAGTTTCTGTTAGGCAGTCAAACATTTCGTTTAGTTGCGTTTAAGTTAGCTGACATACTCTACGAGCTTTCCTACCTTAGATGTGAGACGTTCACTATGTTAACAGGTTTTTCAAACTTGGAGGGGATAAATGTGTCCTTAAGCTACTGATAAATACCAGTGATTTATACATAACTCATGGGTGTTTTTCCTACAACAGGTCGAGATGTTTCTCGAAAATTCTTACTTGCTTTCCTACGCTCAGTCTATCCCCAGTTTCCTGAAGAGTGGATAATGGAGATCGTCGAACATTTGAGTTCAAATTCTGAGCTTGCTTATATAGCTGCACATTTAGGAATGAAAGATATTGTACCTTACAGTGATCAGACGGATTATTCAAGCAATAAAGTTGTGTTGGAGCCGCCAAATTTGGATGTACTAGCTAATGCATTTATGGCTTTAATTGGTGCTTTAGCAAAAGATAAGGTAATGTTTTTCGACTAACTTGTGTTGGATAGTTATTTAATGAATTTTGTATGTATCTGCAATTCGCTATCATGTTCGTAAAGCGTTTGGACATCTTACTAGTCGAAACTTTGTGTTTTGGGCTGTCACGACCATCATGCAATGACTTTTGGTACCACTGACTAAAATAGTTAAAGTGCGTATTTATTCATGAACTAGTAGTTGGGAGTCAAATGTTCAAATCATTAGACCGTGGACTGATTGCTGTGGACGTTCGTGATTATTATTTTTTTTAGTGAAAAATGAAGCTTAAAGGCTATGAAGTTCAAACAGAAGTATACTAATTCAGTTTGCTTGGTGAAAAGGCTTAGGAAGTAAGATCACTTCTGACTAAAAACGGAAATACATCAAATGATCACTAGGTGGTACAAAGTCTTATTCCAAAATAATTATGAAGGCCGTTACAATGTAACCAGTAGTCTAAGTTATGTGAATTTGAGTAGTTGGTAGATAACTCCAAGCATGAGGTTCCTGATTTCTGACTTGTTTACAGTGGTAGTAGGACTTATGTATCTTTAAGGATGTGGAACATTACTGCTAATCACCACACTTGGAGACGATACTTTTGAAGAGTTAGGATCAAAGTTTGTGTTCCAACTCCAATTTGTTTGTATAATAGGAACCAAATTATAGCTAGTTGACTGTACATTATGCTGTGGTCGACATAGATACTATGGATCACAAATTAATCGGATTGACTTACTGTGATCGTATCCTGACTAATCCAGGACATTAAAAGATAAAAGTACTAGCTGATTAAATGCGCATGTTATTCAGATTCAATTACTTCACCTGCTTTAGTTTAAACAGTCGGTAATATTATAAATCCTCACATGATGGGCGTGGTTCGTAGCCTACTAAGGAAACTTGGACCGAGTTCATTTGCAATAAAATAAAACTTGCCTGTGTAGGAAAAGGTGACCACTATAAAGGAATCATAATCTAATCGTCGTACAAAAAACGTAATAATTTCACACTGGTAGATTTAGGGCCGTAGTTACCTCTAAAGAATTGAAGAGATTTTCTATTCATGTCCTCAGTTACATCACCACATGGTATTTTCTGCAAACAGTACATCTAAAAATACTAAATTATTTGTCCTTTCTTAATAAATTTATTATGAATTAGTTAGAGAAAGCACAGTTATTTATTCGGGACTTCATCTTGGTGCGACTTGCAGATTTGGATTTGACTGAATTGGTATCCATTTCTGAACCTTTACCCCTACTTCAGGGCATACTCAAATCCCAAGGACGTGGACCGCCCGAAGCTAGGTAAGCTGTACACATTAGTTCTGTTAATTTGATGCACTGAGCTGCAGTACCTCCAAGAACTAGCTTTATTTCAAAAATACTGATTGTCTCATCACATTTGTCATAGGTTTGCATAATGAAGGGATGAACATTTCATTCTCTTATTAACATCTTTCTCATAAACTAGGATTTATGTGCTAAAGCTTCACTTTCATGCACGAGTATTGGGGACATCTGAATATCAAATATGACGTATATTGGTACAGTATTATTGACTGGATGGCGTTTCAAGCATAAACTACTGTTCATGATCATATCAAGATGTTCACATGACTTCTTTCTTTGGTTTATATGACTACTATTACTGATATTATTATTAGGTCAGACTAGCTGAATGAGATCAATCAGGTTAGCAGAACATAATAGCTTAGCTAGATTTTAATTGGTAAACCCCACCCAGATAGGTAAACTGAAAAGTAGCTCAGCCACTGCTAAGTATCCACTAACACAATCACAGTAGGGTGGGAGAAACCAACAGTCCTGAAAGTTAAAACAGTAAGGTGGATGGAGAATCTCTGTTCTTTGAACCAACATCAAACATGAAATAAAATGCACTCAGCAATCTTTTGCATATTCATGCAGTAGGCGATGAGCTATACCTATTGTGTGGGGGCTATTGATACTACCTGGCTGCCCAAACCTCAGTAGGTGAAGCGGTGTTCAAACGCATGACCCATTGGTTGGAAATCATCCCCCTAAACCAATGGGACACAGTTCCACACACTAAACATGTGCAATAGGGATGACTCAAATTCAATCCCGGGTATTTGGAAAATTATACTGCCATTAAAATCAAGGGGTTAAAGGTAATAAAGCTATACGAACCAAAGCAAAAAGTCGTGTTACCACCTTGATATGTTTATGAGCAATAATTTATACGCGAAATACATGCAGTGAATAATACTGTATAACTGCGTCTTATACCAAGTATGAGTATAGAATAACACTATCACAATGCCCAAATTTACTTTTATTTTGGCATTTGAATGTTTATTCCTAAATCACTTAAATTTTACGGGGGTTAATAGCATAGTTTACACTCATATCTACAGGAGATTTCTACATCTTGAATTATATTCTTTCTCTTATACGTGAGCTTGTTGAAAATCGTTAACAATTCTTCCAGAGTTGAGCCTTTTCTCAGAGTCAAGACAGCCAAATGGTAGTCATCCAACTTATTTTAAGAAGAGTAAGTCCAAAACCATTTTGGGATAGTGAATTGTCGGTGATGAAGTAGCTCACAACAACTTATAATGTCGCACAAACTCCAGCCTAGTTGAACACTGTTCCTTGTCAGTGTATCTGCTTCTCCATTAACTGTGTAGCATAGGCATGTTGCCGCAGTGGTGACGGAGTCACGCTGAGAGCTAGGAGAAAAGCTACACTAGTTGATTAGATCCGCATTAATTGTTTATGTGCTGTTCGAAATGAGAAAGCAGTAGAAATTCATCAAAAGAGAGCAAAAGAAATAACATACTGAAATTCATCATGACGATTAAGATAAAGATGATGCATGGATATATCTGCACCAGTGAAATAGATTCTGAGGCATATCGCCCAGAGTCTTCAATCCGTTGTTCCTGTTGTCACACGCACCCAAGCTGGGTAGTCTACATTTCCTTACATGGGTTAGGTCAACAGTCAAAGACTTCATTACCTGATGCCATTTTTAGTCTGTCCGCCTCTAGCCTGAATCTGTTTCAGCTGACATTGTATGACGGAGCAGATGGTGACCAGATGTGTGTAGCACATGTCCCAGCCACCTCAGTAGATGAAGGTTTACAACCTCCTGAACTGAATTTCCTCTTGTACCTAAGAATCTTCACCAGATTTTACGTTATTGTTGTGGTGACATCATAACTCCAGCGTGTTCTGCAAAGGGAATGGTGGTCGAACATTTGGAGTTTTCTCGCATCCTCTATCTTGAATGATCATGTTCCACAGCCATATAGTAGTGCAAAGCATGTGGCTCCGTAAACCCGACCTTTAATAGGTAATCTCAACAAGTAGCGATTTCGTAAGTATTAGATTGTCCTTCATACAGATAACGATACTTAAGAACATTATTTACCAGCTTCATATATCTTTAGACGGTACTCTATTATCACAGTTAACTATAGGTGATGTCAAGGCGAGTATTAGTGATTTGCAGTTTCCAGTAGTTTATGCGAAAACGTTAATCTATTTTTCCACTTTTTCCAGGCTAATTTACCAATCAAGTATGAATACTGTTCTAGCCTGTTATCAGGTTGGTATCTACAGTGACCACCAGCTGGTTGGAGAAGGTAAGTAACAAAGTCAGTATTTGAAGTTCCATTGAATAGACAAGTTGTAAATATAGCGTAGAAGCTGGCAAGGAAGTGCATTGGTGCAAATTTCCGCATAAAAACCGTTAGCATTGATCACCTGAACTTGGGAATCGAAAGGTTGTGAACATTTATAGCACTACTTGTATCCTGCTATTAAAGTTTATGTGGTATATGGAAAAACCGTTAAAAATAAAACCTGCATAAAGATGCTTAAATGCGGTCAAGGTTATTGCACGATGAAGACGACAGTTTGATTAGTTTTAAATTTTAATTCTGTCAAGCGAAGATACCTTACTTGATCTTCTTATGGTGGTAGTGTAAAGTGTGCGTAAAAAGCGTTCGGTTGCAATAATCTTAGAACAAGTGTAAAGTGTAGGGAAGGTGGGCCACTCAGAAAGGCATCTTGAGGATGTTTACGGAATTCCATGCCAACAAACCGACGATGGTGACCGTCTGTTGCAATTTTGTTCCAACAATTGCCTGTTTCGGGCCAGTACTAACTTTAGACATAGGTAAAGGTACTGCCTCACATGGTGCTCACCGACATCAAAAGTCAGCGATGGACGCAGGTAGATCATATTACTGCTGCAGCTTCTGGAGTGCAAGTTTGGACTCTAATCACGCGCTAATACAGGCTCGTGTATGACTTCCCCTTACTCGTCGCAGGAAACGGTAGTAAAGCCTGTCTATTCTCGCAACGCTTCAGTTGCCCAACATCCAGCCTGAACCTGATTGAAACGTAGATGTCGGTCTTGCAATTCTGCTTGAAGTTGAGGATGTATCGAACCTGAAACGATATAAATCAGCAAGACCTGACAGTTTGCCACCAAACGTTTTCGAGGATGTAGATAAGAAATTTCTGAATAAAGTGATAGATGTACTAGGTAATGTGTGAGAATCAGGTGGTGCCGTCAGATTGGTCTACTTCACTGATAATCCCAGTCTATAAGAACGGAGAGTTTTCCAGTGATAGCCATAGAGAAATTAGTCTGACTAATATTGTGTCCAAGTTCCTGAGATCCATAGTTATCCGACGTCTAACTGGAGGTCGAGAACAGAAACCTCGAGAAGAACAGGCAGGTTTAAAACCTAGATCAGAGTGCACCGGAACATATTTTCACCCTCCGACAGGCATACTTACCGGCAGCCAACATTTGCCATATTTCTTGACCTCCAGGTGGTATTTGACTCAGTCAACCGTGTAGTGGTGTCGTAGTGTCTGACTGTGAAGGGAGTACCGAGCAAGTATATAATACTTATTAAAGCTCTCTACTCGAACTCTTGCAACCGTGTAAGGGGGCATTTAGAGCTGTCATTAGAAGTTACGATAACTAGTGGTGTCCACCATGGATACTCATTGTCACCGTTCTTACCAAATTTAGTTATAAATGTACTGTTGGATACAGTGTTAGGTACATATGACTTCATAGGGATGGGTCCACTCCCTGGAGGTCATCCGGTTAACGCGGAATATGCAGACGATATTTTCCCGCTAGGTAAAGATGCTGAAGAGTTCTAGTCTTTTCTGAACGCATTGAACAGAAATCTGAGTATGTTTGGCATGCGTCTCGCATTTGTCAAACGTAAGATGATGTTCCAGGACTGGTCTGCCGCAAGTGCTTTCAGTCTAATAATAGGCAGTGAAGTGGTGGAATGTGTCGACCACTTCACTTACTTGGGGGGTTGCATCAGCCGAAACGGGTTGTTTGCTGACGAAATCTCAGCTCGGATACAGAGGCTCGTTTGGTACTTGTCACTTCGCATCACATGTGGCGCCAGCGAGATATCGAACTGTCTAACGAAGGACGAGTATATTGTAATGAAGTTCGTTCTGTCCTGTTGTATGGCTGCTAGACGTCGTTAAAATAAGAAGACATGAAACGGCTACATGGCTTTCATCACAAGTGTCTTCACAGCATCGCTCGCGTTTAGTGGAATCACTATCTGAACAATGTTGAAGTCAGATGAAGGATACTATGCAAGGAAGACTGAGATGACATGGCTATGTACTGTGCACGCCGCCCACTTCGATGTACCATGCTAGGAGAGCCTGGAAGAAGGTTCAGAGTGATCATACCAAGGCGTGGCACCAGTCCATGAAGTCCTTGACCGTTGGTCTGAGGTGTTAAGAGAGATGTAAACTCCCTGGCTGGGGGTCCTTTACATGATGGGAACTAGTGGTTGGAGATGTTTTGCGACATGTTCGAAAATAGTTCACAATGGCGCATATATATATATATAATATATATATATATATATATCACTCCTTGACATCTAAGGCCTAAGTATTCGCACCAACCTTTATCTTCAAATTGCTTATTTTCTCATTACCTGGTGTACTTTAAAATCACTCTTTTCTATCCAACTTTTCTTTGTATACTACTGTGAATTGTGGCAACTTGAACCGATGCATTTGTGTGCGAGATTCTACGTTGACGATATCTGTCTGTCTGTTGAAATTTCTAACTACATTCCGACATTGTCTTTCTTGTAACATGTTATTACTAATTGTCTACGACAATTTTAGTTTATGACCCTGTGGGTAGTTCAAGCCTGCAAAGAAGCATCGTAGTTTTCATCAGACTCAACACAGGTAAATACAAGAATAAGAAAATTATATGCAAAAGTGCACCCCTAGAATTGTTAAACTCTCGAACGGCATAGGAAAATAAAATCAACAAATTTTACGAAAGAGAATACACAACAGGTATAGCAGTTGTAAATTTGGTTTATCTAGGAATGTGGACTCTGTGTTTCTAAAACTCGCACATAGTACTCATTGTACCCAAAAATATTACGTTTGTTACTTAACGCTCCTTGCAGCCTGACTAAATTTTTAATCTGAGAATAGAAAGTACGTCATTATCAATTCAACTGAAGTATCAAGAAATCAATTAGTAGGATTATAATGACTGCAGTATGTTACATATACCAACAGAATCCCATACTGATAGGAAAAAATGGAGTTGGAAAGTCTACGGGGGCAGACTACACCCACGATATCAGTTCCCTAAAGATATGAACCGCTGATCGCATAGTGTTGAGAGGCTTACTATCAGTGTGTGAAAGCTTTGAGGAAGAAATGGTTTCAGTGCTTCGTTTCTATACATTCGTTGTTACACAAGAAACTGAGTTACTTATGAAGTCTGCGCGTATTTCCACTTCTTCGCCATTTTGCTGGGTGTTTTGTAACTTCGGATGACTGTAATATTTTATGCATTTCATTATATCTCTGTGGATCAGCTTTTTCATGAAAACTGTTCGTAATAGTAAGTTTGGCTGACGACATTGCAAGTTTTAAACACTGCTACAAGGGTTTGATTACCAACTTTTCAGAAATTCGTTATTTCTTCTACAGTTGTTTTCCAGGGATTAAGCTATCAACTGTCATTCCTGGGTTAAATATAGCTTGTGTAAAACAACCATAAATGTCCGAATACCATAGGAAAAGCTAAGATCTGGTCAGTGAATTGTAATAAATCTGAAACTTGTCCGATCCTTTAGTTCGTCGTCATTGTAGAAATTTATTTCAAGCGTCGAATAAATTTCGGTCTTAGTATTTCATTAACAATTTATTCCGTTATTTCTGCAGTCTGAGGGTATTTCTTGCCACAAATTGGCGTAACCATACTTCTCATTTTATAAATTTAGGTCTTCATTTACTCAGCATGTCAACGAGAATAGCTGAAAGGAGTTCACTTGGAGTGATCATATTTTCTTCTATCCAAGTTATGGTCACCACCAACTTGTAACTAATTGTGACAGCAGTCTAAGGCTCTTACTCAAACTAGTTGGATTTATTTTAATGTTCACTCAGTATTTCAAACGTGCAGTATGAAAATACGTATTTGACTATAACTATTACTTAGGTCTTGAACACTACACTATTACCATAACTTATTGAAATTGCCCACGCTAAAACTCATCGTAGAAGACATAACAAGATTAATTTTGGCTTGCCAAATATACTAACCTCTATGTTTAACGCTGGCAACAGCTTAAGTTTGTATCTGCTTCTGAACTAAAAACGCTCTCAGTACTATGAATATAAACGAAATTCCTGCTTAAGTGGTTTAGTAGGACAATAGATATGCCACAAGGGTTATACATATGTACATTATGAAGTAAAAGTAATGAACTGATCCGAAAAACCGAACGCGGTACGTGCTAAATCAAGAAGTCAGTTCTATCCTGAAAAAGGTTTCGTTATAAAATCAACTAGGAAGTTAAGCTGTTCCTATTAGTTCCCGAACTAGTCTACAGAAATGTATTAGTAGATACTCATATTGTACTTATAACATTTTATCATTTGTTAAGACTTATCACTTTATTTATCCCATGCGCAATCACTAAAGCCCCCGGTGAAACAGTATTAATCGCGGAGGAAGAAGCTATGCGACAATCAATAAGAAATCACTTCAAGCTAACGGACAGTCGACCTGTTATTCAACTGCAAGGGGACCTGAACTTATTTGATTTTGAAAAATATGGGGAACCTAACAATTCCCTTAATTACTACTTGGAATTAGCTACCGATAATGTTTGACTAATCATAAAGTAGCTCCTTGAAAACTGTATGATTGTATACAAATTAAAAAAGCTCTTGTGTGCATAAAAATGGTTTCTTAATTGTACAAACTGGTAGTGGGTTTTAGTGTATTTTACTATCACACACAACACATATCATTGTATGTAAACCATCAACTTCGTTGTATCAGTGTACACTACTTATGTACATCATAGATGTTTCAGAACAGCTGAAGTATACCGTTTCATTGATAGAGATTTCTGAGGAAACGCTGCAAAATGTATCACATCATCGTTTGGCATTTTGATGTCACTAGTCAATTTCTAGACCTGGGCTTTGTGGTACTTGTTCCTTATCAGCAACGCTTATCTTTAACCTTGAGAAAACTTCCGTCAAGATTCGAGGTCGCACAGCACTGCAGTTAAGATGTTTCAAGTTCCTTATTATATCCTATTAATAAGTGACTGAAACATGCTCCTAGTAAAACTAAAAATTTTTATGATATATTCTTTTGATTTAAAGTTGTTCTTCGTAAGTAATTGGGTCATTCACTTCGTACCCTAGTTTTGCAGGTAATGAAAACAACTAGTATACATAACTCATCATGAGTTATGTAGGCAGGGCGTGATAGTGTTGACCAATATTATTTTATGCCTTTGTATCTTGAACGTTCCATTACAGGACCAGTGACCTCTTTGAAGCGACCACCGGGAACAATGGCGCCCTAAACAAATTAGCTCTGTAGATGCGATCATAAGGTGGGCTATCACTTTGTTTAGTACATCCAGATGTTACCTGGTCTTCTATGTACTATTATTATTAGAACACAAAAGTGGTGGAGCAAGGGGACCAAGAAATGCACCACACAAAATAATATAACAGGATTATGAAGACAAAGCGAAGGGACGAATAAGAACAGAATAATTAGAAGGGTAGTCCGATAAGATACGTTCAAAACAAAACATTACTTTTCAGCAGCAGAAGGTAGGAGAAAGCTACAGCATAACCGCCACTGGTTTCGATTCTGAGCCTTGTCTGATAATGTCTCAAGCTACTGAGTTGCGTGATCTCTCGCATACCACCTAGGGAGTAATGAAACGCCAACAGATGCTAATCCAATACAACTATCCTTCACCCCATGGTGCCACCCGGTACACTGACTGCTCCCCCGCTTCTTCCATTCACTAGCAGGGCTAGCAAACATTGAACGGTATGGAAGCCGTTAGGGCGACATACTTAACATATCCAAGCCACTGAAGCCGATGTTTCCAGATGACTTCACTTGTTGAATGATAATTTCCATCATGCCCAAACACACGCTATCGTACCTCAGAATTACGTAGTGTTGTCACAGGATGCGTGCAATCTGACGGATACAACGACGATCGAACGCAGAGTCGTTGCACTTCCTCAGCTCAAAGAGGCCAGGTTTCACAGGCGTAGAGCAGAACTGCTCGTACCGAAGCGTTGTAAACCCGACCTTTTGCGGTCGGACTAACGTCTCGATAGGGTCAAAGGTGGCCTAGATTAATGAGTACCACTCTGGCTTTCTATATGCGGTTATAAATTTCATACTTGCGGACACTAATCGCCCACCGATTAAATGTGGTTTGAGTAGCTTGTGCTATGGCACATATTCGAGGTCGAATAGCCGTTCTCCATTCCGTGTACACATCTACCATATAAAAGCATTTCGAAGTATTTGGAGACCTTGCTCTCATAGTGTTTAGTTGTTTTAAAAGTACCTGTTTCATAGTAGCACTTGTGTCTCTGGCAATAAGGTGATCTCAGTCCTCAATCATATATGAATTGAACTGAATGGCTTGATTTTTGTGACATTTTAGTCACATAGGTTGTTTATGCTACATACCTGCATACTGAACCTGCTTTGGAAGACAAACTGACAAAATAAACATAGAACCTCGTACACAAAAACCTGATTCTAGTGGATCTGTATGCTGAATCGGTCTGCAGTAGAACAGATCTTCCTGATGCTAACACCAAGACCTCAACAACACTGCATTTATTAATACCAAAGTATAAGCTCGATAATTTTATAAAGTAATATTATGCCACATGACTATTATCAGCCGCCAACTAGCTTAACTGAGTGTACAAAACGGGTTAAGAACCACTTCAACCGATTACTTTCGAAGGGAGATTGTGAAAGCAAAATATGAGATGATGGCTCGAAAGATACTAACAAGAATTGAGCTCAGCTGGTTTTCACATAAAGACGGCGAAGTATAGTAACAGTGGTATCACTATATATCCTCACTTCCACATCTGAATGTCTCTTCTGGCTAGTCTAACGTATGCAGTCTGCTTTCCTCACAATAGAGTAAAGATGGGATATGAAAATCTTCCTGTTATTTAGCAGAACACATATATCATCTCTTTGTTGCTCTTTCCATACATATTAGCCTCTGTAATCTAGGCTTTTCCAGCGAACCATCCACACAAATTCTATAAAACTTGCTTTGAATTCTACCCCGTCTCCTGTCTGTTCAGCAGCATTCACTATGGCTGTAAGCTTGCCTATTCACACAGCTTTTATATTTTAGTGCAGAATCGCTGTTAGGATGGACTGTCACACTGATTCGCAACTGGAGACTGACCAGTTTCCTGTTGCTTAATCGTGAATGCTGACCAAACTCTGTCGGTCATTTTATAATGTGGACCCCAGACTGGGAGACTCACCATCGCGGTGTATTTTGATAGGCATTATCTGGTTGGAGGCAATCGGCAGAAAGCTTCAGACCTATGTTTTGTGTTTGTTTGTGCTCGTCGGCAAGGCGTGTCTACAACGTCAAAAGAACTGATATCCCCTGAGAGATCTGAACTTGCATCGCCCAGTGCTGCAGCCTGAGAAGTTGCCTCTGAGCTGTCTGGGCCACGATTGATCTCCTGTAGGACTGGACTATATAAACACTGATTTTTCACTAAACCTTGATCAATTTCATGTCTACTCCTGAGTGCTGATCCAATTTTGTGGGTCATTTTGCAGTGTAGCCACTACTGCATCTTAACGATCAAGAACAATAGAATGTAAACAAGAAGCAAGAGATTCAGTTCATTTGGATATCTCTGGAATTACTTGACCGTCGTACTTTTTTCAATCTGTCTAGCTCTCACATAAGTTCTGTTACCCTTCGGAACAAAAGGCAGCATGTTTGCTTCTTGATCTGCTCTCTTCATCTCCCAGATTTCCCTTAGGCTGTAAGAATAGAACTCTTCGCAAATGCTGTGGAAACGTTCGAGCTTCATGGAGTTCTCTACTGCACAAGACCCAGCGAATATCAATATCATTCGTCGTGAAGTGGCGTATATTTTACCTAACCTCCGGCAAGCATTGCTTCTCAAACTGATGTATGAAAATTTAAAGTTCCTGCGGAAGTTTTCATGGCTAGAAATATTTAAATCCACAGAATTACATGAAACGCTGTTAATTTCGCAATGTAAAGCATAACGGCACAAATATGGTCGTTACAGAAGGCTACTTTAACGCTCATTTAGGAAAGCTGAAGCGATGAGAAAGAAATATTGGGAGTAACTACGACATCCCATGCCGACGAACCGAAAGTGATGGTCGCCTTACTCAAATTTTTCCTATGATCACTTATTTTTGGTCAAAACTAACTTCAGACATAGAAGTAGCAATGTCTTACCCATCTAAACGTTTGTCTCAACCCGCCAGAAGTTCTCATTCAAATCATACTTGGCTTTATGCATGGTTTTGCTGTGGTTACAATGTGAAGACAGTTAGTATCCTGCGTTCAAAGGTTAGTGAATCCCCTCAATTTCATCTGAAATGAGTGATGCGAAAAGGCCCGTTGTAGCTGACTGTGATCGCTACAAGGAGCGAAAGTAAATAACATGTGAATCGGCTAAAAGTCGTCGTGATGACCGCAAGGGGTCATAGGTAGGTGAGGAAAAAAAGATGGAGAAGGCGACAGCGCTAATAGTATAGAGCAGGCATTTATGCTAATTAGGGATCCTGACAAGATGGTCGTCAGTGGGACTGCCACTGAAAATGATGCATATATGATAATCAATGTCCAAGGAAAGGCAGTTGGAACGTCGGACGAAACACCTCGCATAACAGTGGATTTAAATATTTCTAGCCATGAAAACTTCCGCAGGAACTTTAAATTTTCATACATCAGTTTGAGAAGCAATGCTTGCCGGAGGTTAGGTAAAATATACGCCACTTCACGACGAATGATATTGATATTCGCTGGGTCTTGTGCAGTAGAGAACTCCATGAAGCTCGAACGTTTCCACAGCATTTGCGAAGAGTTCTATTCTTACAGCCTAAGGGAAATCTGGGAGATGAAGAGAGCAGATCAAGAAGCAAACATGCTGCCTTTTGTTCCGAAGGGTAACAGAACTTATGTGAGAGCTAGACAGATTGAAAAAAGTACGACGGTCAAGTAATTCCAGAGATATCCAAATGAACTGAATCTCTTGCTTCTTGTTTACATTCTATTGTTCTTGATCGTTAAGATGCAGTAGTGGCTACACTGCAAAATGACCCACAAAATTGGATCAGCACTCAGGAGTAGACATGAAATTGATCAAGGTTTAGTGAAAAATCAGTGTTTATATAGTCCAGTCCTACAGGAGATCAATCGTGGCCCAGACAGCTCAGAGGCAACTTCTCAGGCTGCAGCACTGGGCGATGCAAGTTCAGATCTCTCAGGGGATATCAGTTCTTTTGACGTTGTAGACACGCCTTGCCGACGAGCACAAACAAACACAAAACATAGGTCTGAAGCTTTCTGCCGATTGCCTCCAACCAGATAATGCCTATCAAAATACACCGCGATGGTGAGTCTCCCAGTCTGGGGTCCACATTATAAAATGACCGACAGAGTTTGGTCAGCATTCACGATTAAGCAACAGGAAACTGGTCAGTCTCCAGTTGCGAATCAGTGTGACAGTCCATCCTAACAGCGATTCTGCACTAAAATATAAAAGCTGTGTGAATAGGCAAGCTTACAGCCATAGTGAATGCTGCTGAACAGACATGGAATGAGCAACAGATATAGAAGTATTGAGAATGCACAATGAGGACAGCTAAACTGGCG